GGGAACCTGCGGCCCGCGCGGCCGGCGTCCCTCCGCTGGGCAGCTCCGCATCTTTGTCCCGCGGAGCGCGGACTGGAAAAAGTGGTTTTAGATACTGATCAGCTCCTCTGTGAGACGCAGACTCTGCCCTGACTTGCGGGATTTCCAGTTTGCACACCCTCAGAGGACGTGTTTGTGGGAATGTTGAAGGATGTCCAAGAGATGAGCATTTTTTGTTAGAGTATCTCCCCTCCAGTGTATCCCGCCTTTCATTTACAAGCCGAAGAATTTTTTTATTACAACATCCACTGCTATTAAGTATGTAGTTCTTTGTTTGGATTTTTGAAAACTTATTAGTATTTCCGCTCTTCCTTTAAGGAAAATGAAGAATTAGAGCGTGATTTATTCTGTTTTCTACTTGGTTGCTTCAGTTTGTAAGCCATGTGTAGTGATTTTTATTTGCTGGCATCACCTCGTAATGGGACAGTTAAAACACCTTATCCACCAGGGTTAAGAAGTTTATTTCTTATCAGAACAGATTAGATGTTTGGTATTTTTTTGTTGTTGTTTTTGTTTGTTTGTTTGTTTTTTGAGACAGGGTCTCACTATGTAGTCGAGACTGACCTGGAACTCACTATGTAGCCCAGCCGGTCTTGAACTCACAGCAATCCTCCTGCCTCAGCCTCCCGAGTGCTGGGATTACAGGAGTTCACCATGACTCCCGGCGTTTGGTATTTTTTAATTGTTGCTTAGTTGGGATGTTCAGTCCTTGTTCTTAGCGTGAGAAATTACAACAGGAAGCTATGAAATACAGTACAGTTGGTTCAGAAATGCAGACCATCTTACTATCAGCCTTGCAAGCCGTTAAATAGCTTGACGCAGTTCTGAGTTTTACAGTTTTAAAAAAGTGATACATTGACAATCCATCATTTAATTAGTCATCTTGTGTATATTACACCTGTCATTGTTTTCTTAGATGCCTAATGAACACAAAACAGTGGGTTAATAGACACTAAAAATACTTTGAGATTTGGTTAGTTGGATAAATTGTAATTTTTTTTCAGTTTTAAATTCAACTTAAGGTCATTAAGCTTGTATTATGTATTTCCTTCCCCAGGGGGAGAAAAATGTTTCTTTCTTTGTGGGAGTTCTTCTATGGGCACTTTTTTCGATTTTGGATGAAATGGCTCTTACGACAGATGACTGGCAAGCGTGAATTACAACGAATTTTTGATACCTATGTAGGTGCACAAAGGACACACAGGATAGGTAATGTTACTTTAAAAAGAAAATATATTAATAAAAATTTAACTTTGAATGAATAGAAATGGTGACAAGGTACTGTGTATTCTGGTCAAGTCACACTGGGTTTCGTTAGCTTTGTAATTTCTTTGTGAATTCTTTCAGTTCTAAGATTGTAGTACTTTATAGAAAAAGAAAGCAGTTCTAAGTTTGTATCTGTGCAGAAAGTGGTCTTATCTGGCTCCCAAAATTTATCAGTTGTTCCTTTGATTCCAGCCTGTTTTCTAGACAAAACTTCCTACCTTTCTATAATCCCTTGTTATGTAAATGGGAAGTGTGAGGCGCTTCAGACTAGATCCGTTTTTATGCTTAGGATCATTCACCAGTCTTTTAATTTCTCACTCCCATTTCTGAAAGGACAGTGATTAGATGTTCAGTGGTCCCTAGGAAAGGTTAGCAGACTCAGAATTGCACTGTCCAGCCCTGAAGCTACGGGTTGTAGCCATGTTTAGTAGTTAAGTGCTTGAAATGTGGCCCATTTGGTTTGAGATGTGTCACAACTGTCAAGTGTATCCTAGATTTCAAAGACGGTAAACATTTCTTCATTGTTTATATTCATTATATGCTGAAGTGATATTTTGGATCTGTTAGAATAATTTTATCTGTTTTCTTTCACTCTTTGTGTGGCTGTAGAAAATTTTATAGTACACCTGTGACTCACATTTTCTCTTACATTATATTTCTGCTGGCCAGTACTGCTCTGTTATCTTGTGAAATATGTTGGTTTTTCAAGATTTTATTGAAAGTATTGCCCTAAATTAGAACACAAATGAGTGAGAAATGTGGTCTGAAGTCACTTTTTAGCTCGGGCAGGAAGGCTTGGAAAAGCACTGTATTTTGTGGAAAAATCATGAATGAACCAGATCTTTTGTGTCAGTCAAGTGTGGTTCACATGAGAAATCATCCCCATGAAGTTGGGAGAGAGGGGCATTGGCGTTGGAAGGTGCACCAGAGAAAACATGGAAGCCGGACAGAGAGTGCGTTAAGGCAGCTGGATGATCGAGACTTAATTACTTTCTTAGTTTTCTTACAACTGCTGACTGAAACCTACTGCCTGGTCTTAATTTGCTTATAGAAGAACAAAGTCCTTCTTTGATAAGAAATGTGTGCAGGCGCAATACTGGTTGGTTTTTCATAGTGCAGGGGAACGTATGTTAAAAGGCTTTATTTTATTTTGTAACAAAAGAAATTAAAATTTTTTTTCAAGTTGCAGAGATAAAGATTATTAGTAAATATACTACACTTCAAAGAAAAAAAAAAAAAACCCTGGGGCCAGCATTTCACTAGGCAAGCACTTCACCACTGAGCCACATTCCCAGCCTTTTAAAAAACTTTTATTTAAGAGACTGTAACTCGTGAAGTTGCCCAGGCTGGCCTTGAACTCGGAATCCTCCTAGCTCAGCTTTCTGAGTTGCTGGATTACAGTTGTGTGCCACTGACTTTTTTAATAGACCAGTAAAAATTTTGTTGTTCTTGAAACAAGCCAGAAATGGAGGAGCTGTTTTATTCTTTGTCTTTGAGGGTGGTTGGCCAGAAAAATCTTTGCCCCTTTGTTCTTTTAGGATTCAGCTACTAGCACCTCTAAACATTGACTCCTTAAGGCCAACAAAGTAAGAAAATGTAGTGGAGAGCACTCTTTCTGTAGTGTTCAGATGAGTTTCTGGGACCTGACTTAGTCATAGACACTTTAGGGATCTATGTAGAAACAGAAGATCCTGGAGAAATAAGATTGGTGTCACCTGCCTTGCTATGTTGTGTTTGAGGTTTTCTGAGAGGTACCTACTTTTCTATACTGTAAGAATAAAATCTTAAAATGTTTGCTATGTTATTCATGTAGAAATGATATCTTTTCAAACTGTGAAAGTAATTTGTTAGTGGTTTGATATTTTTATTATTTGTTCATGGAGTAAATCACAAATAGCGTTTAGTGGTAAATTTTTTTTTTTAATTTCAGAAAATTCTTTGACATACTCCAAGAATAAGGTAAGATTATACTAAGTAGTACTTCTAGAAAACTTGAGCATGTTTTTTTTCTTTAAAATAATGCCTAAATTTTAGAATTTTTTCTAATATTCTGCTTGTGTCTTTGCTATAAAGAACATTAAACGAATTCTCTTTAGAAGTAATAATTGTTTTCAAACTATTTTCTTTGTCTGTGTGTATGTTTTTCATGCATAGTGAAGCTCCTTGAACAATTTGGCCTATTCTGAGGTTTTACCTGTTTATTTTGACTTAAGAGTTGATAGCTTTGGAGGAAGCAAGGTCTTAGGGAGAAAATGTTCTCTGAGACTGTCTGTAGGACTGGTTATGTGGGAGGAGAGCGAGCAGCTTTGGATAAAGAAAACCCTGTATCCTGTACTTTTTGGGGTAGGCTAAAAAGTCCTACCTCATGTTATGTAGTTGTTAACTGTTGCTGTGTAACAAACTATTACAAAATCTCAGGAACAAAAACCAATGTTACTTCTTACTCATGTGCTATGGGTCAGCTGGAGAGGCTCTTCAAGCTGGTGCCCAGTTCAGGTCTATTCATTTGTCTTTAGCACCCAGGTGGGGGATATACTGGGTACCAAAGGAATGATCTCAGAGTGGATTGTGGGAGGCCCAAACATACAGACATATTTTAAGTCTCTTGTGGCATATCATCTTGGTTAAAATAAGTGGCCAAGCCTATTTCCATAGATAGAGAAATATATGTTATGCCCCATCGTAAGGCAGTGATAGAGTTAGGTGGCTATGTAACTGATTTACAGGGCAGTGAAAAACTGGGACCAGAAATTGATTTGACCATATGCTGTTAGTTTCCTGTTTGTTCCCGATTTTTTCTATATATGGATTATTTGATGTGACAGAGAGTATGAGTGGTCTAGATCACTCTTTGAAATCCCATTAGTAGACCACAATTAGCATTAAATAACGACAAAAGCAATATAATATATTTAGAAATTATTGGTCATTGAGATTAAAGTAGCTTTATGAAATTCTTCATTAGCTGTGTGTGTGCATCTGTATATTTTTGATAACCACGTGTATGTATTTGGTCATGATGTAAAATGCTAATAGGATAAAAAGTTTGACTTGTTACTGTTGAATGATATTGACATGAGTTACTAATTATGCAAAAGTAACATTAAAATTCTTATAAATTTTTAAATTAAAAATATAAATTGCTAATAGTGTTTTGTAGGCTGTTCTACAAAGAGAATGGTCAACAAGTGGGTAATGACTGATTTAAATCACAGATTCTTTTTTCTGAAGTTTTAAATCTCAGGCAAACTTGTCAATACATACAGGAAACTTTATCATTTTTAAACAGTTTTTGTGTATCTTGGATCTAATTTTTATATTCCATTTACTTTGCAGAGAAAAATCTCATTCTGATCTTGTGATATTTCTGTTGCCCTGATCTACATTTTATTGATTTTAATCACTGATTTTAATCACTTGTTTGACTCTATGCATTTTCTCACCATAAAAGTTATTAATACCCACATGATTGCTTTAGAATTAAAGACATTGATACGAAAGCAGTCTAAAAGAATGCTTTTTTTTTTTGGTACTGGGGATTGAACTTGGGTCCTTGCGCTTGCAGGGCAGGCCACCAAACCGCTGAGTTAAATCCCGGTCCAAGAATGCTTATTATTAATAATATTAATGATAATGCATTTAAGCTGACATATACTATAAGAATTTTAGAAGTTTAAAGCATTTATGAAAACCTATTAGATGATTATACATTGTGGATGGCTCTTGTGAGTAAAAGTTGATTTTACTCTAAAAGGCTGATTCCCTGAATAAGTAATCCAAAATGGTCTTGGTCAGTTACGAACTGTTCCACAGTGGGAATTCTTTCTTGGTTGTTAAAAATGGAGTCTCATTTACTTGTTTCTAGATTAGGGACTGCTTATCAATTACATACCAAGGTTCACTTAAAAAGAAAATTCCCAAATAGCCGGCAAATAGCTAAATAGCTCATGGATCAAAGAATTCACAGGGAAATAGAAAATTGAGCTGAATGATGATGAAAACATAACATATAAAAAAATCTGTGTATTTTACCATGGAAGTTTTTAAAGGCCCGAAATGAGTGACTTCATCAGTATATGAAACTGTGAGAGGAAATTAACCCAACATAAGTAAAAGAAGGGATATAGTAAAAATAAGATTTAAAAAAATGAAATATAAATGGCAAAGTTAGAGATTACCAACAAACCCAAAAGTTGATTCTTTAAGACAATTAGTAATATTAATAACACTTTAGGAGCACTGATTAGATAAGAAAAAATTGAGATTGCCAATGTCAAGGGTGATAGATGGAGCATCATAATAGCCGAGAGTCAGTAAAAGTATGGACAACTTTATGTCAATAATTTCTGAAGCTTAAATGAAATAGGCAAAATCCTTGAAAAACACAATTTATCAGACTAACACAAAAATTAAAAATCTTGCTGTATATTTAATAAATAAAAATCTGTAACAAATTTTTGGCTGAAATCTCTAACTTTGGCTTTACTAGTTAATCCTTATCAAACATTTAAGAAAGGAAAAATAATACCACTATTACATAAACTCCTAGGAAGTACAGTAGAAAGAAACACATTTCACCAAGCCCGTTGTAACCCTGATACTAAAGCCATTAAAGGACAGTATAATGAATGAAGCTTAGAATTCAGTGTCCATCATGCATATAGGTGCACAAGTCCTTAACATGACATTAACAAACAGGTTGATTGTAGAAATACACCAAAGGGGTAATACAAAAAAGGGGTTTCAAAATCAATGAATATAACTTACCATGGGATGAGTAAATCAGAAAAATGTGATCATTTCAGTAGGTACTTAAACATTTTGGTAGACTTCAGTATCCATTTATGATTTTAAAATGCTTTAGGGTTTTTTTTTTTTGTTTTTTTTTTTTTGTACCAGGGATTAAACTGGGGTCCTTGCTGTCCTTGCGCTTGCAAGGCAGGTGGTGGAACCTCTGAGCTAAATCCCCAGCCCTAAAATGCTTCAGGTTTTATAGGTAGCCCTTGACTACCCATGGAAGGGGTTTCCTATGAAAAACCTGCGGGTAATGTGGTAAAAAACACTGAGATATGAAATATTACCTACATTTTATTGAGAGCACAACAAGTGTGTTGGCTCTCTCTCTTTTTATTCAGCATTGTCCTAGAGATAATTGGTAGTGAAATAAACAAAGAGAAGCTAAGTCATAGTAATTGGACAGAAAAAAGTAGGACTTAATGAATGATATAGTTTGAAAATATAGGATATCTTTGGGAATCTATATAAACTACTAGCATTGTTACAAATATGTTTAATAGTGTCACAGGACACAGTATACTTCTCTAAGCAACAGTCTTTTAGACAATTATAATAAAAGGACAGTGCCACTTTCAATGGCATTTAGCAATATAAAATAGGGAGATAATGAAAGAGACATAAAATTTCTTCACTAAAACCTGGAGAACATTTTTAAGAAAAAGTAAAACGAAGGATACATTCATTATTGGAAGATTCAGAAAAATTAAGATGTTAATCCCCAAACTGAATTTTTAAGAAAAAGTGAAATGGAAAGATATACTGTTTTCATAAGTTGGAAAACTCAGTATCATTAAGATGTTAATTCTCAAATTGACCCATGGATTCAGTGTAGTTCTAATAAAAATTCAAGCACGCTATTAAAGTAACTGACAAGCTCATTGTTATGTTTATACAGAAACGGAACAAACCTAGAATAGCACAAATAATTTGAAAGAATTAAGTTAGAGGACTTAAACTGCCAGATGTAAACATTTTGTGAGAAATGAAAGGGCAGAAATAAACCACACATAAGAGGAGGTACAATGTTTAATGAAGGTGAAAATTCAATGAAACCTTTTCAATCAGTAGTACTGGAATAACTGAATATCCGTATGGAAGGAAGAAAACAATTCTGAAGCTCTATTGGTGCTTTTTGTTTATAAAAAAATATTTATCCCCACGTGAAATTTAAAATATACTTGGTTTCCTTTGCATTTTAATATTTTGTTTGTAAAGTTGATTAAATCCCTCAGAAGTGTACCTCCTTTTTCAGCTATCAGATTTTTCTCATTCAGCTTTCTTTTATTTCAATAGATTTTACAGAAAGCAACACAAGTAGTTGAGAGTGAAGTGGACAAATATGTAGAAGATATTATGAAGGAAAAGAATATTAACCCTGAGAAGGATACCAGGTATGTTGCTTTCACATTATTATTATTATTGTTTTTGGTACCGGGGATCAAACTCGGGTCCTTGCACTTGGGAGGCAGGAGGCGGAACCAATGAGTTAAATCCCTGGCCCACTTTCACATTATTATCATTATTATTATTTTGATCATGTGTTCACAGGTTGTGAGGCGTAGAGATCACGTGGTTTCAAAATGTTAGACCCAAAGAGTTGGTAGAGATGATCTACAACCCTCTTACCTCACTGAATGAGCTGTTGAGGTCTGGAGAGGTGAATGAAAGTCACAGGACTAAAACCCATGTCTCTTGGTTTCCAGTCATTGTACCATCGGGCTTCTTTAGGGTAGTTTACCAGTCCTTCTCCACAGTTAAGTAACTGGCTGTCGTGTCCTTCAAGATTCAGTTCTTTTGCCATCCTCTAGCAAGGTTCCCCTTTAGTCTGAGGAGCATCACTCTGTCCCTGCGTAGAGCTTTCTGTCTGGCTTTCACCCGCTGCACTCCAGCCCCCCATGCGCTCTTGTCCAAGCTAGGAGGTCAGTGGGGCTCTGGGCTGGCACACTACGGCATCTTGCATACCAAGCCAGCGCCTTAGATGTGGGTCTCTGTTTTTTAAGCACACAAGCGCCACTATCAATATTGATTGAAGGAGAATAGAGGGTAGATTTTGGGATGTGTGAGGCTAGTAGAGGAATAAACAAAAAACAGAAAAATGAGTCATTTGGGCAAGAAATGACAAAGCCATTGAGTATAGCAGGGGAGTTAGTGATGTAAAGTTTACTTTGAGAGACATTTTAAGGTAGGATAAGGGATTGGGGACAGTTTGATGTGTGCATTGTCTGTGCGTGTGTGTGTGTGTGTGTGTGTGTGTGTGTGTGTGTGAGTGAGTGTTACTGGCGGTCAGACCCAGCACCTGGTGCACGCTAGACAAGCACTCTACCCCTCAGCAACATGCCCAGCCTTTGAGGTGTAAATCGTTGGTGAAGAGCTTGGTGTGTTCTAGCTCAGGGAACTAATGCTTAGTGATGTCCTTCATAAATTTAGACTCACCTCCCTGTTTTTTCAGGGAAGATATGTTGTTATAGTTAGGAAAGTGCAGATAACCTGTCACGGAGCTCTTTGTTATGCTTGGAAAATGAGGCCTGTTGGTGGTATCTGGAAATAAGAGATTTGGGGATGCCTGGGATTGCCCACAGGAAATATGAGAAGGGGAGGGTCAGAGCCTCATGGCTGCAGTTTGTTGTTCCTGTCATAGCTTGCCCTCTTTCTAGGTCCTGTTTTATCATATCCTACATAATACTGTGTACATGTTGGGTATTTAAGAAGACTTTGATTCTTACTGTATTAAAGTGAAAGCCAGGAAATGCTTTGTAAATAGATACATGAACAACAGGTTATGGAGGGCATTACTTTATCGTGGTTAAAAAAAAGTATGATTTAAAAAAATAATTGTATCATTTTCAGTTTTAAAATCTGCATGAAGACATGCTTACTACAGATAACTGGTTATAAACAGCTCTATTTGGATGTAGAAAACGTGAGGAAAAAGCCATATGATTCTGATAATGAACAACACGAAAAGCTACTCTTAAAGGTAAATTTTTATTTTCTGTGTTTGGAATTATTGAACCCTGGAAAAATTAATCAGGCTTGAGTTAAGTAAGGTCTTTGTTTAAATTCTAGAGGCTTATTTAGCTATCCAGTTGCTTTGCCCCTTAGAGAATTTTATTATGTTATATTTTGTTGATATGGAAAGGTTTTTGTCAACAATATTTATAATTTCATAAATATCATTAAAGTGTATTCAAATAAATTTTATTTTAATGCTTTTAATTCTGAAATAAATTACAAATTCATAAAGAAAGATCTTTTCAACCCCAAAAAACTGGATCCATAAAGCTCAGATTTCACAGTACTTTTTGTATAAATTGCTCCTATGAATTTGGCTTTTTTTTTAAGCTACTCTCAAGTTGTAGTCATGTATATCCCTTTACAGATTATTATGTAGATCTTTAGGGATTTATGGAATGTTAATAGACAAGTAATGCCACAACAGATTTAAAAATTAAGAAAGTAAGAATAAAACTACTTACAGCTTTCCTATTTTTTATTACCAAAGTGTATGTACATACATACATAAGATAAATTAAGTGTCAAAATTAAAGTGTGTTAGACCTAGAGTGAGCTTTTACACATCGTCCAGCTTTAGGGATGAAGATTCGAAGACTCTTAGAAGAGGTGAAGTGACTCACTCTAGTACTAGGTGGTAGGGCCTAGAAAAGAGCAGTTTCTTGCCTGTCCTGTATGGCTGTTCTAATTGTGTTTTTAAATGGTTAAAGAAAATCGCACATATTATACTTGGACACAGGAGTCAGTAGGACCAAAAATATTGTGGAAGGAAATATTGACAATTTCTAAGTAAGAGACACAAGTTTAAAAACAAAGCTTTTTTTTTTTTTTCCAGGAAAGTATAACATATACAGTTCACCTAATTGTAAAATTAAAATACAACTTGGGTTTTTAAAATGAGGGCAGTGAAAGTAGGTATCGCAAATGGCTGTTTGTGTGGGTTGTCCTTTTATATTTGAAGTGTTTAAAATAGTGTGGACACTCGCTGAGGATTGACTGCTATTTCTATCCTCAGTTATTTTTTTCATTTCAGACCCTTTCTGTACAATACACCTTTCCATTTGAAAGAGGTAAGGTACAAGTGCTAACATTCTAGTCCAGGGCATTTTATCTTGATGATTCTTTCTGAAATTCAGTCCTGGAGGCAGAGAGCCAATTCTTGGCAGCGACTTACCTGGCGTGCCTGACTCAGCGTCTTCCTGGCTAAGAAGCTGTGGAACCCATTTTGCTTTATGTACAGACCTAGTACCACCTTCACTAGACTTAACCAGAGTTAACTAATATTCATGTTCCAGAGTTCTGCCTTATCCTTATGAAATCAGAATCTCCAGGGATGGAGGCCAGAAATTTGAGGCTTCTGCATATTACATTTTGAGTTCTGCTGATTCTACACTACATCTCTCCCTGCATCCACACTGCATCACACACAGTGGCACATGCATGCTCCTTGCTGAATTCATGAGATGTTAATGTGAACAAATTGCATGTGTTGGTAATAAAAGTGGGAACACGATAAAACCCAGTCCGATAACTAGATTTGGCTTCCGGGCCACAATTTGTAAAGGAAGCCCTCCACATTTTATTTTAGGGAACAGGATACTTTCATTAGGAGTCCTTTACTCAACAGTGCAGGAAATGGTAGTGAAATGGGGGAAATGGAAGTGGTTTCTATTTTGCAAATTTTCGCAGTTTTTTGTTAAATCAACTTGTGTAAGCCTCTTTTGATTGATGATTTGTACGGAATTTAGAAGTGACTAAATTTTCTTTATTTTGTTTTGATCGTTTGTTGGTATTTCGTATCTGATTGCTGTTACTAAATTCTCTGTCTCTAAAAGATATTTATTTAAAACCAAATCATATTATTTTTTCTTTTAAAACTTATATAAAGTAGCTATACTATAAGTTAGGATATTATCAGTTGCATAATCCCTTGCCTCAGACCAATTTTTAAAAATTTATTTATTTTGGTACTGGGGATCGAACTGGGGACATTGCACTTGCGAGGGAGGTGGTAGCACCACTGAGCTAAATCTCCAGCTCAGAGACCTATTTTTATTCATCAGATTAGGGATTAATCATCTGTAATATAATATAGCCAGTTGAAATACACAAGGCCAATTGCTCTAATACTGTCTTTTTCTCAGGCAGGCAGTTAATCTGTTCTGGTATGCATATATTAAATAGTAAATACAAAAATCTCATTGTTTTTAGTATTATTTGCTATCTTTTTTTTTTTAGACAGGGTCTCAGCATGTAGTTCAGACTGCCCTGGAATGCTCTATGTAGCCCAGGCTGGTCTCGAACTCACAGTGATCCTCCTGCTTCAGCCTCCCAAGTGCTGGGATTACAGGTGTGTGCCGCCATGCCTGACAGCAAAATCTGTTCTTTAATGGGCCAGGGATTTAGCTCAGTGGTGCCACCACCTGCCTTGCAAGTGCAAGGTCCTGAGTTTGATCCGCAGTACCAAAAAAAAAAAAAAAAAAATCTGTTCTTTATAACAGTCATTTTAGTTGAATATACTACATTTTTAGAAGAATTGAAAAGTTTTCTGAAAGTAGTCTTTGTTGAACTATTTATGATTTGTCTACAAAAGTTGTTTAATCAAAAGCATGCAATTACTAGTTATGTAAACCATGAGAAGGGAAATGTCTTGGTAAATTCAAAACATCACTATTATTTGTAACATGGAAGCATGTTTACGCAGCTTTGGAATCTACTAATGCCCACAGTAAAGCTGACAGCTAGAATCTCCAAGCAGTGGGCTGACATTGGTTTCCAGGGTGATGATCCCAAAACAGACTTCAGAGGCATGGGCATACTTGGATTAATCAATCTTGTGTAAGTGAAAAAAAGCTTCCTTTTCTTCTCTAACGAAATTACATGTAATTTCCAGTCTAGTTATGTTCTAATAAGAATTGATCTAATTGCGATATACTGTCTCTAAATTTTAAGGCAGAGCTAGAGGATACACTGACCTGTAGCAACATAACACAGCATGTGTATGGTGGGGAGTTTTTTTACTTACTGGTTCTTTCTGCTTCCTTTCTTTTCCTGGATCTCTGTCTGTCTGATTCTTCTTTCAGCATTGTGACACTCTTTCCTTACTAAAAATATCCTCTTGCTGCTTCTCTTTCACCTCTGATTCCATTAGGAGAAAAACAACTAAATGAGATGATAAAAAGTCACTTCACATGTCTTCACTACTTTTGACAAATGATAAAAATCCTTGACCTTTCAGAGCCAAACATGGACTTGCTCTTTCTTTTTTCTTTATTATTTATGATTTTATACATGAGTGAAATCTCAGAACATGTAACCCAAGTCCTAATTGATAGCCAAAACTATTATAGAGAATAAATTGGAAAATGGATTTTCTCCCAGTAGGGATTGGAGATGCTAGTGTTTGGGTCAGTCCATGAATTATGATTTAAAGACTATAAAATGTCTAAAATGAGAGGCCAACTGCTAGTTCTGACTGTGAAAAAATTAATTCTGAAATTGAGCTAAATTACGTGAATATTGAGAAAAATATTTGCATCAGTTTCAATGAGGCTGTTTTGGGAAAGACTTTTAGAAGACCTTACAGTAGGGTTTCAATATCTACGGTTTTTTTTCAATTACAAAAATTGTGATTTCTTGGGGCTGGGGATTTAGCTCAGCGGTTCAGTGACCCGAGTTCAATCCCCAGTACCAAAAACAACAAAAATTGTGATTTCTTGAAATACCTAAGCTTTATAAGCATTTCTATTCCCAATAACTAACTCTTAGCGATAATACAGTAACCTTAGTTGTTTAATTATAAAAAATTGTATCTTAGTATCTGTCAGAACATTCAAATGTAAACTTTAAATGATTTAACAAGATTTAACTCTAGACTGAGGTAAGGGATTCTGGTAGACCTTTAAATGACTTCCAGATATTTTCATTCCACTTAAAGCTAGTATTAGCTGATTTGAAAAATGTCCATATGTTAATAATTATTTGATTGCCACCAGTGTACTAAAGTGATTAAAACATAAAAGTAATTCTTCTGTAATTTGGTTTATTGTCCTTTATACATTAGGAGCCAAATACACAGTTGAGGAACAGGCAAACTTACAATTATGTCATTTATTATTTTAAAATTTCTTGGCCTTTGCCATGTAATCTCAAGATATTTTCTGGCTTTGAAGTATATGGGTAGTTTATAATTAAGACTTCAGATAAATGAACAAGAGCTGGGTAAAGAAGAAAAAAGGATTTTGTGAATTCAAAGGAGACTGAAAAAATCTGAACAAATGAGGAAATTGAAACGGCAAAGTAGAAGAATCTGCAAGTAAAGGCCAAAATGTATGTAGGAAGAAAGATGGTGGAAAGGAAAAGTAGAAGGAAAAACATTGAAGGAAGTGTGGCATTTAATGCAGATGATAAATTCAGCAAGGAAATTAAAAGGTGCTTATAGATTTTTTTTAAAGAATAGTTTTACTTTTAGAATGCTAACAAATGATGAATTATATTTAGAGTATTGTATACAAAAATGAAGTTATGAAAAGTCCAGGTAGCAAACAGAATTGGAGCTTTAAGAAAGTGTTGCCCCTAAGCAGGACTTTTACTGTTTGGGGTTTCCAGATTTCTCTGAGGATCTGAGGAAAGCTTTGTATATTCTCTCCTCAGAAAATGAACCCACAGAAAAATCTGCACATACTTAAGAGAAATTGAAATGGCCACTTTCATTCTTAATTGACCCTTCACTCATGGGCATCTAGGTCAACAGCCCCTTGCTTAATGGGTTGAAATTTTGAGCCACTGAAGAAAAATGAGAGGTGTGTGCTGTTAGTCCATAGAAGAAAAAAATTAGAACAGGAAGATTAGAAATTTTGGTACTTTGTGAAAATTTTAATGACTATGCCCGCTACAATTTACATAAACCATGGGGATCTGTTTTATTTAACTGTGTATCTGCATGTCAGCGTCCATCCAGTCGCTGTGTGTGGGAGTGTGTGTTTGCGTGCATCATTGATTATGAAGTGAGACACAAGTTGAACAGGTTTGGTTTAACAATTCAAGGAGGTTGCATTAACATAAGCCAGAAGAATGTGTGAACCTGCAAATACGTAGCTTTCTGTGTTTCTCCTGTACCTAATAATTCTGTTTTACTGCCAATAGTTTAGTTGATCAAGTTTTTTTTAAAAATTTTTTTGGTATAAATGGAATGTTACTAACCTTCTGATTTGCCCTGAAAATGCTACTAATCAATACAGTCTTAGGCTGTAGTAGAAGTAATAAGCTTTGGTGAAAGGAAGAGCGTCCCAACAGATACATTTTATACTATTTTATAAAAATAAGCAAATTTTTGTAAAACATTTTTTATGTAAAGAGGAAGTCTCTTTTTATGTGATTTTAAAACATATTTTACAATCTTGCCAAAGATCTATGCTTGTGCTGGATAGGCCTAATGCCTTAGGATTATTTTGAGTCATTAACATTTGTGAATCACTGCAGTGATTTGGGATGGAGATTGGGATGATTGTGGCAATACAAGGATTGTCATTTTGATGACAGCAGTTGCCTGTGGATATTATTATTAAGTTTGAATGACGTGTGTTCATTTCATTATTTTCCTTAAACATTTTTAGCTATTTCAGTGAAAATTACACCAGGGAAGCTCACCAGATTCTTTCCCGCTCAAATCATCCAAAATTAGGGTAAGCTGGATAACATTAAATATGAATAGATGATTAAATCCATTTGAAGGCATTTGAGGGTATTTCTTAAAATGATATTATTTTAATAAGAACTTTATTCAAAACATTGCATAAGATACTGTTTTTAAGGGAAAATGTGATCATAAACTTTTGTATATACAATAAAATCTTGGTTCTGTTCATAATCCAAAGCATTTGTCTGTTAAAGCAACAAAAGAGAGATTTGTGATCCTGTGACATTCGGTATGACATACTACTCATACTGTGAGATACCACTTGTTTATCAAGTTCAAATTTATTAGAAATGTTTGCTCTTTTTCAGAACATTTGCAGACCAAGTTACTCACAATCCCAGCTTTTACTGTTTCAGTATATTTTTATCACAACATAAGGCATAGCTATAAAATGGAGCTTAAGGATCTCTATAAAATTTTTTCAAGACTTGATTTGATAATAGGATTAAGAATACTTTGAAGCCGGGTGTGGTGGCGCATGCCTGTAATCCCAGCACTCGGGAGGCTGAGGCAGGAGGATCACTCTGTGTTCGAGACCAGCCTGGGCTACATAGTGAGTTCCAGGTCAGTCTCAACTACATAGTGAAACCCTGTCTCAAAAAACCAAAACCAAAACAAAACAAAACAAAACAACCTTGAAATTAGAAATGGGAAAATGGGAAATAGTTTTGAAATTTGTAAAATAAAAGGCAAATTGAGGTCATATCATTAGCTTTATCATTGTTTTTATATTCTATCTGGTCTTTAGGAAAACTTGATAATGTTAGATCATAAAAGCAATTATCTTGATAATGGAGAAGAAAATACCAGACTATCTACTGTAGTTTAGATGTCAGTGAAATTTAGTGAATGTAGTTCTCTTTTGGTTTTAGAAATCACACAGACAGGACTTTATTTTTATTTCTTAGATTCTATCCAGAAAATCAGTAGATTTTAGGAAATAATTTTTTACCTACTCTGTTCTATTTTTCTTACTATGTAGAAACTATTCTGAAAGAAATACTAGAATTGAAACAAGTCACCTTTTACTAATTCCTTACATAATTTAAATTTATTTTTTGAGCTTCCTGGCTAGTTGGTATAACTAGTAATATTTCTGACATAGGTATTCTTATGCAATAGTTGGAATCAATCTTACAGAGATGGCTTATAGCTTACTGAAGAGCGAAGCTTTGAAGTTTCATCTCTACAATATTGTTTCTGGAGTGCCAACAATGGAACACTTCCACCAGTTTTACTGTGAGTAATACAGTAAGGTATTGGAATGAGTTAATACTGGATCTACCTTTTCAATTATTAGGAAGGTGTAATACCTATTTTGATTTAATATATCAAGTATGTATATAGCTTACGCTTACCATTTTATTATCTAGGATCTCTGAAAGCCAGGAAATAATAGAAGATGAATCACTAGGAGTATATTGTACTTCACCTTTTATATTTACTGATTAAAAAAATTGTTCAGCAAGGCAGTTTTTCACGTTTATGCAAGTTTAGAAGTCACGTACTTCTGTGGACATTCTGTCAAAATGAAGTTTTCATCTTTAATGCTGGTTAATTAATAGGATAGACCATTTCCAGGTTACTTTTTGTTGCTCTTGTAAGGTAAATTAATTAAAGGAGCTTTTGACTGCTGTCATTGCAAGTGCAGGTTTCCTTGTAGTAGGTAGGGATCCTGTATAACCACTCCTTACACAGCCGTCATTATCACTGTGCATGCATGAGCTTTCACTCTGACGATGTGCGGCCCCTGAAGGTTGAATTTAGTAGACCCATCTCCTGAAGCCACGGCTCAGAAGCAAAGCATTCAGATCTGTAGTGCAGCATCCCTCTCCAGACACGTTTCTCTGTTCCCCTTCATCTTAAAAACCTTTAAAATAAATGCTTTTCATTCCTTCACCTCCAGTTTTTTGTGAGTTTTTTTTTTTTGTTTTTTGGTACCAGGGATCGAACTTGGTTCCTTGCGCTTGCAAGACAGGCAGCGGAACCACTGAGCTAAATCCCTGGCCCTTCACCTCCAGTTTTTGTCTCACTTCAATTTAGTTTCCTCATTCCACAGAAACTCATTTTCTCAGTATTTTTTTTGTGCCTCATACAACAGCCATGATTTTTCTTCATGTTTCTTGATCTTTTAGCAATAGTAGATATTAGTGACCATGCTTCTCTTCTTTAAACATTGTCCTTGCTTTTCTGATACTACCTACAGTTTCTGGCTTCTCTGGATTTGCCACAGACGCCCACGGCCTTACTAAGTGTGGGAGCACCACAGTGCCCTGCCCTCAGCTTGCTTCTCTCTGTAGCCCTCATTGTCTCCCTGAGTGATCTCATCCAGTCCCCAGCTTGAAATGCCGCTGTGTTCTGTTAAAGCCACGGTAGAGATCTGTAGCCCAGATCCTCTCTCCAGCTACAGCACTGTGTGTTAAGACCTTTTTTCTTCATCTAATAAAGGATCCTATGGGGATGGGGCCACAAGGTAGAAGTAAGTGTATGGTGTCTTCAGATGGAGGGACAGGTGGTTTTCCAGTCCTGAAGGACTAGCCATGATGATTGTACCTGAGTACAATCACATGCACAAGTTACTTTCTTTTACCATCTGAAGGTCATCATTGCTTGGTTACGTACCCTCCCATCCACCCCCCACACCTCAACCTGGAGATTGGCTGCATGCCTTACTTGCTCCTAGATCAAAATAACAAAGCTGGATCCAATAATCCTAAAACATCTGTCTATAAATATATACTGCAAGATGGATATTTGTACCATGATATGAAAAGAACCCTTGCCCTCAATTTGCCTTGGCTCAGACTTAGCCAGTTTTTAGGGAGGCTCAGACATTTTATTAGATTTTCATCGAGATCTTCCAGCTTCCTTCCCCCAGCTCACCAGTTCTTTTCTTTCAGCTTATTGCAGTGGAACTGAGGCCCCCTATTCCAACTTGTCTTGTTTGATTTCCTGTCCCAAATCTCTCATCCCACTTTCACCATGGTGCCTATACTCCTGGTACTTTGCCAACTTGCCTCTCATATTATTTTTTCTAATAAAGTATATATAACCCTAATCCAGTGTTAGAATATCTCTGTTACCTTGTAAGATCCTTCATGCTGGTTTACCATTAACACCTCCCCTTCCTTGTTTTAACCCCTACAGTCAAACCATGCAGAAATGTTGTTTAGAACTTTTATATGATAATTTCTATTGAGTTTATTTCAAATCTAGTCAAAAGAACAATCTATGTGCTCTATGGAAATAGCTCATTTCCATCACTTTCTGTATAGCTTGAGAGTCTGGGTGTCCCTGTCAACTTCCTAGAATTTTGATACCATTTTTTTCCTTTAGTTTCCTGATGTTTTATTAAATCATTGTAGCTATTCGAGTTTTGATTCTTTGAGTCGGTCTTCATTGGGCACAAACAATGTCTCTCTGAAGCAAGAAGTTTCTAGGATTTGGAGCAATTTGTTCCAGCCTGTACAGAACATAAGATAAAATAGCTAAATCTAATAGGCAGAAATAATAATAAAACAAATGACATATATCTTAAGCTTTGCATGACTTGATGTTTCCTACTACTGAGAATATTACTCTCTAAATTCTTTTATCTACATCTCTATCCAGGTGTTAGAGGTGGAGATGAAGGAGAACACAGACTCAATTTGTATATTTATGTGTAATTTCTATCATGTGGTATTGTCATTATGTATGTATAAAATCAGTTTTAATGAAATGAAAATAGAACACAGTATTTAAAAATAATCGTAAGATTAAAAAGCCTTTTAGAAGGAGCAGTGAGGTTCTAGTGGAAACAGAATTCCAATTTATAACATGCACGCTTACAAATGATGTAATTTGGCCTCTCCATGCCTGTTTCCTCAAGGATAGAATGGGGAAAATAGCATAGTCCTGGGGTCATGTAGTTACTGAGAGAAAATAAGCACATTGTACTCACCACAGATGTATGTAAAAATGATTTAACAAATACATTTTCTTGAATACAAAATAGGGCGATTATAATGTAAAATATGGGTGGTTTAAAATTTACATTTAAATTCATGTATGTGTATTTTATATATATATATATATATAAATTTGGTTTCATGAAACATTTTCAGCACTTTGAGGATTCATTTGGCTAATGAATGAAAATACTAAAAAACAAAAATGTAAAGCCTATTTACAATTCATGTATTCTTTTCAAAAAGAGACAGTACTAGGGCTGAGGAAGTAGCTCAGTGGTGCTAACACCTGCCGGGCAAGCACAAGGTCCTGAGTTCAATTCCTCGTACTGCAAGGGAAAAAATAAAAATAAAAACAATACTGATAGTCCATTGAAAAATACAAATAGCTTAAATTTAGAAATTAAATGGAGGGCCGGGGATTTAGCTCAGCGGTTTGGTGGCCTGCCTTGCAAGCGCAAGGACCCAAGTTCAATCCCCAGTACCAAAAAAAAAAAAAAAAGAAAAGAAAAAGAAAGAAATTACATGGAAACAGCTTTCCTGTTCTTTATCCTTGTCCAAAATTTTCTCATACTTTCACTTTTGTGCTCCAAGCTTCCCTCTTCTCCAAGTCTCTTTGGAAAGTTCTGTGTCTCTCACATTTGAGGGGTTTTGTTGATTTCTGAGAGAAGCAGTGAATGTACTCTAAATATTTTATTGAAATTACTGTTTATTTTGATCATACAAAGTACTTCTTATAAAGGTCCACAGATTTCTAATAGTTTTATTATTATTATTATTAATTTATTTATTTATTTTATATTTTTTAGACAGGGTCTCACTATGTAGTTCAGACTGCCCTGGAACTCACTGTGTAGCCCAGGCTGGTCTCAAACTCACCGTGCCATCCTCCTGCCTCAGCCTCCCAAGTGCTGGGATTACAGGCGTGTGCCACCACGCCTGGCTAGTTTTAATATTATTTTTGATTATTGTGTCCTACTATAGAATTTAAAGGATGGTTATATACTTTATAAAAGTGTGATGGTTTTAATGTGATTTTAACATTAAGGACTGTTTGTTTTGTTTTTTTCTTTACCTACAGGTTATCTTGTCTATGAATTTGACAAGTTTTGGTTTGAAGAGGAACCAGAAAGCATTATGTATTTCAACCTGTATAGAGAGAAGTTTCATGAAAAGATTAAAGGACTCTTGATGGATTGCAATGTAGCACTCACTTTAAAAATATAAATCATCCATAGAAGCTTCTATTTCTACCACATTTTGCACACAACAACACAATTTATATGTTGTAATAGAAATTATCTGATCAATTACACTCATATATAATTTCCTACAAAAATACTTTAGAAATTCTATTTAAGAAAGCTAGTGGACAATCAGTGTATGTTTACAATTGCTTATACACTGTCCTCCAAAGTTACCTTATCTTCCAAAGATCCCTTCTGTAGAGTCACATGAACTGCAGTTTGGAACTTGGGATTTAGTCTGTTAGTGTAAAAGTGTAAGTCAGGTATTTATATTAAATTGGTTGACTAAAATGTGTACAAATCAGTTTTCATTTTTATGTGTTGTAGCTATCAAGTTGGTATCTTTTTCAAAGCTCTTTAAAGTTTTTATTGTTTTTTAGTCTACAAGTGACAAGTTCTAGTTTGCTTTTTCTTTTTATTTCTAGACTAATTAACAGCAAGAGTAATTCTTTGTTTTTTGGTGGTTTATTTTTTTTGTTTTGTTTAATTGGTGGTGCTAGGGATTGAACCCAGGGCCTCCTGCATGCTAGGCACGCACTCTTTCACTAAGCTACATCTCCAAGCTAAGAGTAGTTTGTTATGGCTTTCTTTGTTTGCATCTCAGTCACTTATCAAATGTCACTTTATTAGTAACAAGAAAAACATAGACCTATCAGACAGGATAAAGAATAATGATCTCCTTTTTGGTTTCTGGAGATTACTGGAACATAACAAATAATGAGAGACTTCAGTATCGGTTTTTTTGTTTTTAAATAACACAATTTAAATGTCAATGTTATTTTAAAGTTTAAAGACATTTTCTAATCTTGAGTTTACTTTTTTTTTCAATTGTAGGAAAAAAATCCTTATTTAGTGCTTTAGTGTGAGGGCCTCTACTAGTATGGTTTATTAAAAGAGACACATTTGCTAAGAAAAATCTTGATTGTGTTCAAAAGACAGTTTCTATTAAAATAAAGCTGTCTCTGAAACAAAAAGAAGCATTTAAAAATCTCAGTTAAACATCATTGCTTTGACTGTTAACTCTTGCTTCTCTTTGCTTTGACTCTGTGGTGTTTCTAGATAATGGTACGTGGACCTTATGTTAACAGTCTGTGGGATAATAAAGCAGCTTGAGACTGATGACTGTGAGTTTTATATAGCTTTATTCTCCTAAAATCTCAGGAGGACAGCAGGTGCTGTCAAGGATTATATGGGATGAGAGTCTAATGGGAACAATTCCTTTTGGTGTGTTTTGGAAGATTGTACTCCTAGCAAAACTAAAGGAGCTTAAAGCCAGGCATGGTGGGTACATGCTTGTAGTCCTAGCACTTAGGAAGCTGAGGCAGAAGGATTGCCACATGTTTAAGGCCAGTCTGTGCCACATAGTGAGTGCAAGGACAGCCTGAACTATATAGTGGGAACCTGTCCCCAAAACAGAAAACTAAAAGAGCTTAAGGGCAGGAAAATTCATCTCATTACTACTTTCTCCTTAAACCCTTCAAAACCCACTTGTTAAAGATATTAATTTATAACATAATATTTTGCACATTTTAAAATGTGGTATATACCAAGTGTTTAAGGACTAACTTCTATGTGATACAGCAAAACTTAGAACTTTTCAAGTCATTTGCTCATACCCATTGACATACCTCTCCAAACCTGTCAAAAAATAGTATGAAGTATCTGATTGGAAAATCACAGATGCAGTGTTAAAACTATTTTTTTTTCTCAATGAGATAAAGCTATTTTTAAAATCTTGTTCATTATAATAGTAGGAATTTAACTTTGCAGTATTATAGGAGTTTAATAATTTCTTATAGGAGACTTTTCAACCTTGGGAATATCTTCACTTAGTTTTTTAAAAATGTACTCATGATTATTTATTGTCCAGCTAGAGCTTTATGATTTGTAACAAAATTCTAACAAGAACAAGATGTTAACCATTGATGTTCATTGTGTTAAGATGTCAACTAGTTTATGGAAAGCAATGGTTAATGCTTAATTTTTGTGCTAAAAATGCTCATCTTTGTATTTTGCTCTTTCAACAACTAAGATCTTGAGACTAAACCTTTGTGTGTACTTAATTTAAAAAGTGCTTGAAGTATGGAAACAGAACCTCTTAAGTTAGTTTTTCCCTTTCTAGGGAAAACACCCCTAATATTTCAAGAAAATGTCATTATAAAGTTGGTTCAATAATATCTTCTTTAAATTTACCTCTGTTGGAACACTACAGATAATGTTCTGTTTTTGCTTAAAATAATCATTAACTGTTTCAGACAATTCCATAACAAATTGATCCAAAAGTCACAACAAATTTGAAGATTTGATAGTCTGGAAAAGCAACCTGTCACCAGTTGTAAATTTAGAGTGTAACACGAACTTTCTGATTTGTATGTATTCATACAAGAAAAGAACAATATAATTGTTGCAGCCTTCCTACTTTACTTTTCAACGTGTGTTAAAATTTTATGTAGTCTTAAAATCCACATTTAAAATCGTTCCTGTTTCTATAATTAGTAAAATGCCAAGGTAGTGATAAAATATTATTTGGCGTTGAAGTAGCAGAAAGAATATTAGTGTTAGCATAGAAAAAGTGAGATCAATGTGGAAATGCATTTTTGTATGTGCCAGGTTTAAGAGATTGTGCCAGTGATAACAGTCTAAAAAAGGTAGTTGTAACATTTACAGTTTAAATTCTGAAAGACAATCTTGAAAGAAATAAGAGAAATTAGGATATGTGTAAACCTAGACCAACCTCTCTTAAATAAATGTGATGTAGATAAACAAAAATCTGTCTTAAACTGGCGCTATTTACAGATTAGAAAACAATTTTTTAAATGCTCTTTCTGATTTTTCTATTTTAAGAGCTACTTGGATTTATATGTATATTTCTATATCAGAATACATGTACTCTTCACTCTTATTCCAGTGTTCATGAGTCCAGTGTTGTTGATAAGCTGTTTCTTCCCTTTGAAAGAACATTCAATGAAATAGAATTTGGTCTAAAATTTCCTCAAAGGGAAAGCATTACATGAGGATGCTCATTTTTATTCCAAAAAGTGTTACATAGTACCACGGCATAGAAAAGAAGACATTTGGCTTGTGGGCAATACTGTTTATTATCCTTCTTGAAATAATGATTGGGGACCGGCAGCAAATATCTCAGGATAAATGGTCTACTCTACTTCTCTATGAACATGTCTTGGGAGGCTTAATTTCCATTTTCATACTTGTGAACATCTTACAAGCAATCTTCAAATGAAAGTTAATGGATTAGTACCCTGAAAGGAATCGTGACTTGTGTTTCTGTTTTGCCTGTCTTCAGCTTTTGATAAGAAAAATTTAAAATGTTGTGCATGTAAGACCTGAGTACTACATTATTATAACAGAATGATTCTGTGTTTTTGTTCAAATATTGAAAAATATGTAACCACTAGAGCTCCCTAGAGGAAAAACTGCAAGTTGGCAACTTAAAAGAAATTGACTTTTTGTCTACTTTGGCTAATCAGTTGATTTCTTCAGTAAAAGCAATAGTGTGTAATGTGATGTCATTTTGTTTGTGATGTTAAGTGAACAAATAAAAAAATGTTAAAATTGTAAGCCTTTCTGCTAATTCTTTTTCTGTTTTCCTGTCCTTCCCATCCCTTAAGTCATTTGTACATATGAGAATGTTTTGTTATTTAATCTATCATTTTGTTTTAGATGAATCAGAATATATGGAAATTGTTCTTTTATTTTGTTGAATTTTTAACTCAAATGCTAATTATTTAAGGTGTAATTGACTGAACAAGAATAAGTAGTAGGACTAAAATTTTGCTTACTTTTTAGGTAAGCCACTGCCACCATCACATACTGCCCCATTCTTACATATGGTAGGGATAATTTTTACTGCACTGTACTATTTTTTTCTTAACTTTATAATGTAGGTTAGATCTATTTTCATATAAAAAGCTTCCTTATTCTGTTTTGTACAACTGCATAGCATTCCAGCATGCATGTATGTATCTTATTTTGAAAGAAAACTATGTATAGAAATGGTTGAATCAAGCTAAAGCAGGATTTATTAAAGTTAGTACTAATTATAGCATTAATGCTAATAAGATGCATATAGAGAATACAAAGGCTGAAACTTAAACACAAAGTTTCCATTTCAAGATGTTTGATGGAGAACAAATGTAATGGAAGTATAGAAGGAACTATTTAAGAGCTTAGGGACATAGAATAGAAGACAAGTATATCATAAGAACAAACTTGGCTGAAAATCATAAATTTCAGTAAGATTAATCAAGAACAAGGCAGCAAATAATAAGATCAAGAATGACGCATCACTGCAGCTACAAATTCTGAATAATTTTACCAAAATTTGAAGCGTTAGATAAAATGCAAATATGTCTTTAAAATATTACTTACCGGACTGGGGACTTAGCTGAGTGGTTCCGCTGCCTTCCTTGTAAGCACAAGGTCCTAAGTTCAAGATACACACACACACACATATATGAAAATTCAGAGAAAAAGAGGGAAACAGGCTGGAACTCTAACCTTGGCTTTCAGCCAGGGGGAACCATCTGCACTTACACAAGCAACCAGGTCATATCCCAGTAAACTGAGTAGGATGAAGAGATAGCAACAAAGCCAAGATCACATCACGGGAAAGTAGACACTTCACTAAAGAAATCTTCATTACTAGCAACAAAGTTCACTAATTGAGCATGAACACTCATAACGGAAGAAAAAACAGGCAATAAAATGACTCCAAAAGCTCCCAACTCCTCCAAAAATGGTCCATTGGTCATGGATGGGGAGGAAATTTAAAAACTAAATGTTTGAATTATGCAAAGCAGTGAAACAACAGGTTGATAAGTGTTCATTGAGCTCAGAGATAATAGAACAAAACAGATAATGGAGTTAAAATGATTAATAAGCTTAAAGAAGATAGAAATAAAAAGCTGAGTTAAACAAAATGATACAAACATGAATGGCCAGTTTAGCAAAAAGTTGAGTTGATGTAAAGGAACCAAATTAGAATTTGGGAGATAAAAATTCATTTTTAAGTATGGACAGCAGAAGTGACCAGTGTGAGATCAGTGTCAGGTAGAAGATAGAGGTGATACAGGTGATAATATAATTAAGAGATTATTGAAAATAGATTCAACAGTACCAAGATGATGCAAAGAAGACTAACCTAAGACTAATAGAAATTTGTGAGAAGTCAAAAAATGGCATTTAAAATGCATTTTTAAAAAACCTGTTTGCAGAAATCATAGCCAAAAGCTTTCTAAGTATGGAGAGAGGTTTCAACATATAGGAAAGCAAGGAATATATAACCTGAAATAGCCATAGTCAGAAAAGAATATGTGTAACAAATCCAAAAGGTCCAATAGAAGGTCAGAATCTTAAGAGCTGTTAGAGAAAAGCAACAAATTACTTATAATGGTAAACACATTAGAATTACAGCACACTTCTCAAATATTTTAAAGGCCAGGAG